AAGTCCACCTGCGGTGGTGACTCTGGCGGCCCATTGGTCACACATGACGGCAACAAACTGGTTGGCGTGACCAACTGGGTCTCTTCTGCCGGTTGTCAATCTGGACATCCATCTGGCTTCCAGCGTGTTACCTATCACTTGGACTGGATCCGTGACCATACTGGAATTGCTTATTACTAATCTATTGCTGACATAAATAAATTAAAGAAATCATTTTGAAAAATATTCTTTTTGCCAGTTTGTATTAACTAGATGCCATAAGACATTTCTTAACTATATTTCCTTTAAGTATTTCTTCTAAGCATTTCCTCCAAGTCTATAAAGCATAGCTGAATGATCATTGAATATTTACACATATGATCATTGAATGATCATTGAATATTTACACATACTTTACTTCGATATACACTGCATGACTGATTCCTGGCGACTGAAGAAATGCTGCACTGGCTGTCTTTTATAATAAGCGTCTTTCTCAGAATCACTAAGTCGCGTTCAAACGTTGGGTCCGGCGGCAGGTATCGGTCGTTGCAGTCGAGCGTTAAGTAACCAATGGAAACACTCTCTGCTGCAGCATGCATTATAGCTTCGTTTTATTTACATATAAATACCAAATGAATACTGCTGCGTATATATAGACAACTTAAATGATATTCTGTAGTTATTGGCGTTTGTTAGGCCGCAGACAGTGACACAGACTGTGAGGTTGGCAGGAAGTCAGAGTGAGCGACAGATTTACAGACAGATATATAAACAGACAAACACATATACAAGAAGAAAATATATGCTTAAAAAGCTTTAGTAGCTTAATATTTATAATGATTATATGGCGTAGACTGCAGTTTCGTGTATTCCGGCTATTCCATCCCATACTCATTTTCATTGGATTTATTATTGATAAACTATATCTTTTTCAAATAGGCTATATCTAGCATGAAATATGCTGACTTGGCAACACTGGTCTCGAGTAGAGCGCGCTTGTTATTTATTAACAGAACACATTTCATAGAAACCCATAATAGTAGGCAACGCCAGAGTTGTCGCGGATCCACTCCAATTGGTTGGACACGAGTGAAGCCAGATGGCAGACCAGCAATGCAGCCGTCACCAGAAACCCAAGAAGTGACGCCCACCAATTTGACGCCATCATGGAGCACCACTGGGCCGCCAGAGTCCCCGCTGCAGGGCGTGGCAACGCACAGAATACCATCGGGCTGGGGGCCATAGGTCTGGGAGCACTGGCTATTGCTGATGATCTGTTAATCCACGCACTGCAGCCAATCGGGCATTGGGCTACCGTCGTAGGTGCCGCCCCAGCCGCAGGCAACAGCTCACCAGCCATCGTACATGTTGTAGCGATCATTGAAGCTGGGCAGCTCCACCTTGTTAACCATTGACCAGAAATCGACATGAGGAGTATGGATCAGAGCGATATCATTACCATTGTTGTGTGGCCAGTTGTGGTTCTATCGGAACTCTCCGCTGCCCACAGTGTAGGTGAACTGGGCGTTGGTACGCCACATTGCACCGTAGTATATGGTCACAGAGCTGGCGCCGTTGGTGCAGTGAGCAGCTGTCAGCACCCAGTCGTGAGCAATGATGGAGCCACCACACCACCAGC